AGACTGGGAACCGGATAGGCCTGACGTAAGCCGCTTGTGTCTCTTCGGGCACTGCCCCATCGTCTGCCGGAAAAAATAGACGACAGACACCCACAACTTGCCTTCTAAAAGTCCAACTCCGTGAGGCGACTCTTCATCATGAGCAAGTTCGCCGTCGTCTTCCGTAATGTATGGTCCGCGTTCGTTTGGGCTACAGGGACCAGTTTCACTTGTAATATTGTCGGTAGGCAAGCCCGGCGCATCCATTAAGTTGGGGACTTGACAGCCGTACTTGCACGACAGACTTTAGCCCACGCACACCTTCCTACAACGGCGGGGCTGCGCGATTTCCCACACTATTTATAAGGAAGATATTTATATAATAAGCGCTGCTTTTCTCAAACGGCCAATCGTGATTGCGCAAAATGGTGAGTTAAAACACAATATCTTGTTTGCCACAGTTTGGTCTCCTTACACAAACATTAAATATAACAATGTACAAATTGGAATATTGACGAATCAACTCTGTTCCACTTTCTCTACAAACCGTCTTTCAAACAATCCCAACAGTGAAATCCAGTCTTCCGACTTCCTCGACTGAGATGGCCCTATAAAGAGGGCCGAAAACTGGCCGTGGGACCAACCTGGACACCCCATCTCCGGCATTCGCCTCCCTCGTCCTTCTGTCATCGATTTCCAATATTTCATTGCAACGAATTAGACTCATTAGTGATATGCTTAGTAGTAATATTATTCGGCCCTCCGGATCGCTCTAGCTATCACCTATAATTCAGTATATATAAGGGATATAGGCAAAGGCCTGGAAAACCCTTGTTGCGAATGTACGGATGAAAAACATACACATATTTACATGAAGGTTATATCAGTCATTCTTATCGAGTAAATATTCGACCATCAATCATACATTTCTCAAGTCTTTCCTGAAGGTCTCAGCGTCTTCCGTCAGGACAACTTAACTCAGCAATTCGTTCCATCCTTTAACCAGCCGGTGGGTGAAGAATTTAACCTGCACTCCAAGTTTGGCACACTTTATCTCCAAGTTGTATTGGTGGCCTCGAAGTCTGGTCGTTCGTGCCAGTTCGAAGAAATCACCAGGCTGAAGAATACAGTCTAGCCCTCGGACGATCCTAGGGGCCATGACCATATCCCCTCTGTATGGTCTATAAGATAGAGGAAGTCTTTTAAGCTTTTTTAGGCGTCCCTCATAAGATTTAGCAACTCAATTCGCCGACCAAGCTGGTTGCTCTTAGACGATGGTTTGATAGTGGACGTCATCCACACACCGAGGTCTCTTAATTCGTTGACTGATTCGAGTTGTTGACCTCCTACAGAGTAGAGCGATTCAAATCTCAGCGGGCTCCAGTTGCTAGATCGTAATCGGATGAGTGGACATCAATTAATGTTGGGGTTTATATACCATTGTCGCAAGCAATCCAGATTATTTTGCCGATGATCTCAAATTGCGAAAGACTGGCTGTAATTGCAAAATAATCTGGATGCGCCGGGCTCGCCTCTCTTGCCTACCGAAAATATTGCAAGTGAAACTGGTCCCTGTAGCCGAAACGAACGCGGACCAT